CCTGACCGCCCCATCTGCCAAGGGGTCTTGTCTGCTCCTTGCACGTCACAGCGTGACTGTCAGGATCCAGCATATACGGGTACAAAGGGCTTCGTGTCTCCCTTCAGGACACAGCAGAGCGCTGGCAGCGTGGACCTGGCTGTAGTGATGGCGAGCGGGCACACTCTCCAGTTTCAATTAATTCTATTTAAACTGCACTGCACTGTGGCACTGTCCTCTCGTTGTTCACTGATTTGCTCAAGCGGGCCCAGTAACGTCCCCAATTGTGAGACTTGTTAGTGTGTTTGGCATATCGAATATGTCACGGGTAGCTTGCCAGGCTTTGCCATGCGAGCGAGATACTCTAGGTAGCTTGCTGGGCTCTCTGAGCGGGGTAGAGGAATTGAACTCGTGGCGGCTGGGTAGGCCACGTGCAAGGCAAATGCTCTACCCACTGTGCTATCGCTCCAGCCTTTTAATTTTTTTTTTTAAATGACAACAACCTTCTGGTCTCTCATTGTCTGAAACCTCGACATTGCCCACTGGTCTAGAGGCAGGCTCTGGGCCCTAGAAAAGCCCTGGGCAGGAGGGAATCAGCATCCCTGAGGATCAGAAGCAGCAGCAGTCTCAAAATTCTCTCCATGCAGTGAGCAGTGGGCTAGGGGAGCCAGGGGGTCCCCCAGAGTCCGGAAAATCAGAGGCTAGTCTGTACTCTCAGTGATGCCTGCCATCACCATCACAATTCCCCCTCAATGACACCCTCGTGATTTCTGTCATATTGATGAAGAAATAAATCGTAACTGACTGGGAGTCACCTGGCAGGGAAAGGGCTGGGCAGGGTTCCAGGTCAAGACCTCTGCTCCCCTCAACTCACTGTCTGTGGGCTCAGGAGACCCCCAGGGCACCATCCCAGTGACCCTGGGGTCTGTCCACCTCTTTCACCCTCTGCCTCAGTCTGGGCCACAGTAGCACATCCCTGCTGTCCCCTGTCCCCGTCCCCTACTTCAGTCTGAGTTTCTGAGGTGCAGCCTTCCCAGTCTGGCGGCCCAGACGGCTCGGCTGACACAGCGTCCTCTTCCTGCAGGGGATTTGACTTGTGTGCACATAACAAATGGGTCTGCTGCGTGGAACGCAGAATGTCCGGAGACTCTTCCGGAGGAAGTGTTCTGACTGAAGCTGCAGGTGTGTGTGCAGAGGGGAGGGGAGATGCATTCTTTGAGTGGGAGGGGGAGGGTTGGGCCACCCACACCTGCAGGTGCTCGGGGTTACTCCTGGCTCTGCGCTCAGGGAGTGCTCCTGGTGGGAATCAGGGAACCCTATGGGGTGTGCTAGAGATTGAACCCCAAGTCTGCTGCATGCAAGGCAAGTGCCTTACCCGCAGTGCTATCCTCTGGCCCCTAGAAGCTCTTCTTGAGCCCAGCCCCAGCCTCCCTCCCCGGGTGAGACAGCCTGAAGTCGGGGAGCTTCCCAGGGACCCTGCCTTCCCAGGTCCTTTTGGTCCATACACACTGGGCTTCTCTTGGAGCCAAACTCCGGGCTCTGGATACACAGATGACGCCACGTGTCCTTGGAGGAGCTCAAGCCTGAGGGAGCAATGCTATCCATTGCCTGATGCATTCCGGCACCCAACCAACAACAGAGCCCTGGGCCTGGCCCGGCCAGGCCTCTGCTCCCGGCTGAGGATACAGAGAAGAGGTCAACTTGAGCCTGCCCCTCGAGGCTTTCCAGTCTGGTGAAGGACTAGCGGAAATCCCCAAGGACATGTATCTCCAGAGCTAGGGGGTGACAAGAGAGGTAGGGGAAACTGATTGGAATGAATGAGGTTTTTTCTTTTCTTTTTTTTTTTTTAGTGGTGATGGTGAGGTCACACCCGTCAGCTGCTCAGGGGCTGCTCCGAGCACTGTGCTCAGGTCACTTCAGCAGAGCTCAGAGAAGCCAGAAAGTACCAGGGATCCAACCCAGGACTCCTGCAAGCAATGTGGATGCTCTGCCCTCTGGGCTGCCTGTCTGCTTAGAACCTGCTGGGCTTTAGCTCATGAATGAAGGTACCTAATCAATAATCAAATGTGTGTCTGGTGCCCTGGATGGAACCCTGGACTGCATGCATGCAAGACATAAGCTCTTCCACTGAGCCACATCCGCGCCTTTCATTCGTTGCCATGTCTACTGAACCACGTCAGGGGCTTCCACTGATTGACTGATGTGCCTCATAGGAAATTGCTGGCTGTGTGGAGCTGAATCCTGGGACTCCCTGCACTCTGGCTCTGTGAGGACCAAAGCTCTTCTGACTGAGGCTGACTTGAGCCCAAGCTGCAGAGCCTCCTGCAAACTGGTGGGAAAAGCAGCGGTTGGGGGATTGCCTCCCAAGGGGGTCGTGAGCATTAATTAGTTACCATTGGTAAAGTGCTCTGAAGATGTGGGGGTGTATCAACACGGCAAGTCATTAGACCTCTCCACACCACTCTGCTCTGCAGCCTGGGAGCTGCTAATTGAGAAATAATTAACACCTCAGGGTGCAGAGGACGGATGCCTGGCTTCTCTGCAGTTGGAAGGATGGAATGCAGTACGCACTCCGGGAGCAGGGAGAAATATAAGGCTCTTTCAGATCCCAAAATACAGCTGAGATTATTCACCCGGGCCTCCAAAGAGGAGATGTGGGCCCCCAAGCCTGGGGGGAGGAGTAGGGGATGGTGTGGGCAGCACTTCCTGGGAAAAGTCCCCACCACAGTGTGCAGTGTGGGGGCGTGGAGCCGGCCTACTGCCTTGCTGCCTTGCAGATGCCAGAGGTGTGTGGTCCAGCATCGGTGCTTTCCCTGCACCCTGACAGGAATGTTAACAGGGGCCCACATCTTCCCCCTCCCTGCACCTGGTTGTCCCAGGCCTTGCCTGGGCTGCAGGTGAGGCTTGCTGGGGCCTCTGCCCTGAGGCTCTCTTGCCCAGCCCCACAGCCCAGCTAACGGCCAGCAGCTGAGGTCAGCCCACACTGATTCCCACAATCAGGGCTGCTGGCCGCTGCAGGCCCGAGTGCCAGTCCTGGGAGGGAAGCTGTGCACCTTTTCTGGGTCATCTGCTCAGCTGGAAACTCACCTCCTCCGGGAAGCCCTCATTCCCTCTCCTCACAGCACTTTCACAGCTCTGTTACACCCTGCTGGTGGAGTGCAGTTCCAAGCTTCAGCAGATCCTTGGGCTCTGAGAGTTCCTTGGGGCCAGGGTCTGGTACATTTTAGGTATCTAGCAAACCAACCCTCCCACCCCAGGGCATTAGCATGGATTATTTGCTGTGTCCATTCTATCTCCAGATATCTCTAAGGCTGTCTCATCTCCAGTCCTTGCTATAATGTCACCATGGACATTTTACATTTTAAATAAAATTGTCTTTGGGATTGGAGAGGTAGTACAGCAGGTAGGGCGTTTGCTTTACTCATGGCTGACCTGGGTTCGATCCCTAACTTCCGATATGGTTTCCCGAGTGCATCAGGATGCCTGAGCACAGCTGGGTGTGACTCCAAAACCAAGCAAAACTGCATTAAAATACTTGGGCCAGAGACAAAAATTCAACGGTTGGTGTCGCTGATCCGTTTTTGGTTTTGTTTTTTTGCTTTTTGGGTCACACCCAGTGATGCACAGGGGTTACTCCTGGTTCATACACTCAGGAATTATTCCTGGCCGTGCTTGGGGGACCATTGGTGTCGCTGATCTGGACTCTTTCCTGGGCACCATGTATGATCCCTCGCCCCTCCCTCCACCCCCAGAGTCCCACCAGGAGTGATCCCTGAGCACAGAGCCAGGAGTAAGCCCTGAGCATCATTAGGTTTGGCAATAAAACCAAAATGAGAGTAACAGTAATTATAAAATACGATTTATCTGAACAACTGTATTGTTTTGAGCGCCCACCGCTCACTGGCATTTCAATATATGAGTTTATTGACTCCTTTCTCACTAGAACGTAAGCGACATTGAATATTGAATACAGAAAATTCCATTTGTCTGTTTTGTTGGTTATTTCCATTTTCTACTACAAAGGCTAGTATATGATGATAGCTGCACAAAAAATAATCTGGGAATTAAAGTTCTAGAGTCTTAAAGACTTTCTTGGGCTTGTAACAAAGGTGTCTTTTTCCTATTACTAAAAACAATGTTAATGTATAAATAGGAAGCCTGTGAAAAATCATCGCGTAGACTGGGAACCGCACGAGTCACTGTTGTCATGGTTACACCTTCGCCACCCATTCACCGATTCCGATGGGGGTGGGCCCTGGAAGTCGGTGAGGAACGCGGGACTCAAAACCTAGGCGACGAGTTTTTGACCATAGAGTTGCACCTCCCTGCCTCCTAGAGGGTACTTCCGGGACGTAGTTACTCAATCCTTTGCTGGCCAATCTGTGCCCGGGATCGCTGGCTAAATGTCCGGAAGTCCTTTTATGGAGACTCACGTGAGCTAGCCCAGCCCGCCCTCCCGGGATTCCGGTATCGCGATTGGCTGTGGCGGAGGAGGCGGGTTAGGGGGCGGGGTCTCCCCGGCGCAGGCGCGCCGGCGCGGAGGGAGGTCTCGTGGGTCGCGTTCCAGGGACTGCAGTGGGTGAGCTCGGGGCCGGGGAGGCAGCGTGCAGAGCCCGCGTGTGCAGAGCCGGCGTGTGCCCGGGCGCCAGGGTCTAGTTCGCTGCGGGCCGCCTTGCCACGTGCGCCCCGGCCTTGCGTGGGGCGAGCTCCCAATTGCACTGCCGGGCAGAGTCCGTCCTTGGGTGTGTGGCCGCCGCCGGTAGAATGAGGGCAGCGCGTCCTCCCGCGCCTCCCTCGGCCCACGGCTGCGAATGCCCTGGTGGCCCTGCAAGAGCCAGCCCCACTGAGCTTCCCAGGGGTCACCCGCCGGCCCAGATTTCCTTCCCACTTAACGCGTGGGGAAACTGAGGTCCGGACAGTGGAGTCATTTGACCAGGATCTCCCAGCTCGTGGGGGCCACACCAGTTTCTCAGAAGTAGGTTTGGGGCCAGGCAGCCTGGGCCAGGCACTGTCTTGAGTATTTACCTCCTGGCTGGGCCCCCCAAACTTTGCATACAGGCTGTACCGGAAGGACGCAATGGGTGCTCTGAAAGTTTGTTGAGTGATGGACTCCGAGCCTAGTTTCTAGGTCAATGGATGGTGTTGGTCATTGGGATCAGAGCAGTTACTTGTGTATAAGCCGAGTCTCAGGACGGCGCCCACTGTGGGGGAGGGAGGTGGAAAACCTGGGGTTCTCGCTTAAAATGAGTTCGGTTACTAGTAGTTGTCACATTGCCCTTCACTTAGCTCTCCCTGTGCTATTATGTTTGATCAACAAGCATCTTTAATGATGAGCGATATCAATATTAGGCATTGTGGTAGCCCTGCCATCTAAAAGTGTATTCAAGCTGTTGAAGTTGTAGTTTCCTGGAATAGAACAAGAATCAGTGTTTGGTCCCCTTGCCTGGCACAGAGCAGTTTTGGAAAATATTTTTGAAAACTGCTCCTGTTCATAAAAAGTTGTGGGACAGACTGGGCTTTGGGGCAGAGTGAGTGGGGCAAGGAAGGGATCCTTGGGGACAGGCAAGGCGTCCAAGACCTAGAGGAGGCAGAGGGTTGTGAGAGGCGAACGGAGTATAGGCTGGGTTTGTCCCGTTGTGGTGCTTGCAGGGGGTGGAGTGATAGCATAGCGGGTAGGGTGTTTGCCTTGGACACAGCCGACCTGGGTTCGATTCCTCCGTCCCTCTCGGAGAACCCGGCAAGCTACCGAGAGTATCCCGCCTGCACAGCAGAGCTGGCAAGCTCCCCGTGACGTACGCGGTATGCCAAAAACAGTAACAACAAGTCTCACAATGGAAACGTTACTGGTGCCCGCTCGAGCAAACCGATGAACAACGGGAGGACAGTGCTCCAGTGGTGCTTGCAGGAGTCAAATTCTTCTTAGACTCCTGCATATGGTCATCATTTGCGGTGCTGGAGAATCAAATAGCGGGGCTGCCGGGATCATACTCAGCACATGTTGCGGCCCTGGGGGTCAGCTCAGGCTAGCAAGGCCCATGCTTTATTCATGAGCCATCTCTTGATCCTGTTACTGTATCTTTACAAGCATGAAAAGAATTGATTTTTTTCCCCCACATTTAATTGCGGGGGGGGGGGGGATTTTGGTGGTCCACACCCAGCTGTGCTCAGATCTCACTCCTGACTCAGAGGGTCACTCTTGGCCTTGTTTGGAGGACCATATGTGGTGCCAGGAATGAAACTAGGGTTTGCCATATACAAGGCAAGTGTCTTCCATATGGCAGATGTTAGTGTCAATCTTTTCTCTTTTTTTTGGGTGGGGGGCGTCACACCTGGTGTTGCTCAGGGGTTCCTCCTGGCTTTGCACTCAGGAATTACTCCTGGCGATGCTCAGGGGACCATATGGGATGCTGGGAATAGAACCCAGGTCAGCCGCGTGCAAGGCAAACGCCCTACCTGCTGTGCTATCGCTGTAGCCCCAGTCTTTTCTTATTTAAGGTCAGTAAGAGGTAAGAGAAACAGTCTGATCTGTCGGATGTCCGGAATGAAAGGGTTTGCATCCGCAGGTTCAGCGACTATCTTGCGGGTACCAGCTTCTGCCCAGTGTGATGACCCAGTCAGCACTAATTCCTATGCAACTTCTTGTTCACAGGGCGAGGACTCATGGAAGGGCTACTCACACGATGCAGACCACTGGCTGCCCGCAGCCCCCACCTCGGCCACGGCCTGCCTCCCAGGTTTCACCACTGCGCCCCAGGGAGAGGGAAGCGCCTGGTGTTGTCTCGGATGTTCCAGCCGCAGAACCTTCGGGAGGACCAGGTGCTGTCCCTGGAGGGCAGATCCAGCGACCTGACCTGTAAGAGCCAGCGGCTGATGCTACGGGTGGGCTTGATCCACCCGGCCGGCCCGGGCTGCTACCACCTGCTGCCATATACCGTCCGGGCCTTGGAGAAGCTGGTGCGGGTGATAGACCAGGAGATGCAGGCCATCGGCGGGCAGAAGGTCAACATGCCCAGCCTCAGCCCTGCCGAGCTGTGGCGAGCCACCAACCGGTGGGACCTGATGGGCAAGGAGCTGCTTCGACTCAGGGACAGGCACGGCAAGGACTACTGCCTGGGCCCCACGCACGAGGAAGCCATCACGGCCCTGGTCGCCGCCCAGAAGACCCTGTCCTACAAGCAGCTCCCGTTCCTGCTCTACCAGGTGACCAGGAAGTTCCGTGACGAGCCCCGGCCCCGCTTCGGGCTTCTCCGGGGCCGAGAGTTTTACATGAAGGACATGTACACCTTTGATGCCTCCGTGGATGCCGCCCAGCAGACCTACGGGCTGGTGTGTGAGGCCTACGGGCGCCTCTTCGACCGGCTGGGGCTGCGCTGTGTGAAGGTCCAGGCCGACGTGGGCAGCATCGGGGGCACCATGTCACATGAGTTCCAGCTCCCAGTGGCGGTAGGAGAGGACCGTTTTGCACTGTGCCCCAGCTGCGGCTTCTCCGCTAACACCGAGACGCTGGACCTGTCACAGAAGAACTGCCCAGCCTGCCAGGGGTCCCTGACCGAAACCAGAGGCATCGAGGTGGGGCACACGTTCTACCTGGGTACCAAGTATTCATCCATCTTCAACGCCCAGTTTACCAATGAGCGCGGTGAGCCCACCCTGGCCGAGATGGGCTGCTACGGCTTGGGAGTGACCCGGATCCTGGCGGCTGCCATCGAGATGTTCTCCACGGAAGACTCCGTGCGCTGGCCCGGCCTCCTGGCCCCTTACCAAGTCTGCCTCGTGCCCCCAAAGAGGGGGAGTAAGGAGGCAGCGGCCACCGAGCTCGCTGAGCTCTTATATGACCAGATCACGGAGGCAGTACCCCAGCTCCGTGGGGAGGTCCTGCTGGATGATCGGACCCACCTGACCATCGGGAACAGACTGAAAGATGCCAACACGCTCGGCTACCCCTTTGTGATTGTCGCTGGCAGGAGGGCCCTGGAGGAGCCCGCGCAGTTCGAGGTGCGATGCCAGAACACAGAGGAGGTGCTCTTCCTCAGCAGAGAAGGCGTCCTGGAGTTACTGCGCCCAGTGCAGGTGGGCTGAGCACCCCAGTGGCCGCACCCTGTCCTCGCCAGTGCTCCTGCTTAGAGCTGGTCTCTGCAAGCCTGTAGGGTCGCATCCCTGCTCTCTGCTGGGGGTCAGCGGTAAAGAGGGGGTGGCTGATGGACGTGCCCCAGGCTGCTGCCTTGGACTGTGGGCTCCCGGACCAGATGCCCTTCACTTGGACATGTCCCCTACCCTGCAGAGGCCATCCTACCCGCCTGACCTAGAGCGGAACTGCCTCAAGGTCCGTACAGGATGCTACAGTGTCCAGCTCTGTCACAGGCGGGCCTGTTGCTGGGAGCCTCTGTGCGCCACTCAAAGAAAACCATGTGACCAGGGAAGTGTGTTCTAAGTCATTTATTGGGAGGGCTAGGGTATTGTCGGGCCATACCCAGCAGTGCCCACGGACCATGGCAGCTGTCAGACACACCGTGACCTTGTCTGAGATGCAGAGCCATGAGGGAACTGGAGGTCTGGGTCTTGATTCTGTGGAGACCGAGTAGACGGGGCTCCCACAGCTGTGCTTCCTGCCCTCACTGTCCAGCTCATCTGAGGAGCATGAAGGGGGTTTCCACCCACGGCCCCTGGACACGACCTTATCTCACGTCCAGGTCTCACAGGAACTTGTGGAGTTTCTCCTGGCTCTGTGCTCAGGCATCACTCCTGGCGGTGTGAGGGGGACCATATGGGACGCCGGCGATTGAAACCCAAGTTGACCACGTGTAAGACGAGCACCCTGCCCAGTGTACTACCTCTCCAGCCCCCTCTTAATGCAGTGCAGTAGGACTGCCCAGAGGCATGGGCCCCCAACCTTTGGCTTTGAGAACCAGCCCCCAAGGCTCCTCCTTTGCCCCCGAGGGAGCAGGGGGTGAGGTGGAATGGGCACCGAACTAGAGGGTGCTGGGGGGAGGCTGCCTCCTGGAGCTGCCAGGCCAGCTGGATGTGACCCCCAAATGAAAAATAGGCAAACGACCCCTCTCCCAAGAAAGAAACGGAGAAACAGATCCAAGTTTCCTGATGGGGGAATTTCTCCTTCATCTGGTGGAGGGACGTGCTTCCCAGACCCGAGTCAGGGTTGGTTTGAAACCGGTTCTGACCGTTTCTCACATGAGACAAACCCAGGCACAGAGGCATTTGCATGGGCTCAAAGCTGAACTGGAACCTGGCAGATGATTACCTCACCACAGGCCAGTGTACGTCAGCAGGATCAGAGTCTGTGGTTGTATGGGAGCCCCACTGGTTCTGTGCCCAGGGCCTCCTGGGGGGCTTGGAGGACCTCGGGGGGACTGAGGACTGATCTAGGGAGGGGTGTGCAGCAGGCCCCTTCCTACAGTGCTGTCCTTCTGGACTCTTGTCTTTCTCTTTCTTTCTTGCTTTCTTTCTCTCTCTTCCTTTCCCTCCCTCCCCTTTCCTTCCTTCCTTCCTTCCTTCCTTCCTTCCTTCCTTCCTTCCTCCCTTCCTTCCTTTTCTTTCCCTCTCTCTCCCTTTCCCTCACTCCCTCTCTCCTGCCCTTTCCCTTCCTTCCTTCTTTCCTTTCTCTCTCTCTCCCTTCCTTCCTTCCTTCCTTCCTTCCTTTCTTCCTTCCTTCCTTCTTCCTTCCTTCCTCCTTCCTTCCTTCCTTCCTTCCTTCCTTTTTCTTTCTTTCCCTCTCTCTTCCTTTCCCTCCCTCCCTCTCTTCTGCCCTTTCCCTTCCTTCCTTCTTTCCTTTCTCTTTCTTCCTTCCTTCCTTCCTTCCTTCCTTCCTTCCTTCCTTCCTTCCTTTCACTTTTTGGGTCTCACTTGGCAGGAATCACTCCTGGTGGTGCTCAGGGGACCATATGGGATGCTGAGGATTGAACCCAGGTCCGCCGCATGCAAGACAAACGCCCTCCCCTCTGTCCTATCACTCCGGCCCTGGCCCCTTGTTTTCTTGATAAAGCCCCCGTAAGCACTGAAACGCCCGCGACCGCTTCTACCTCCTTAGAGGAAAGACGCCTCCCAACCTGTGCCTTCTCTCTTTTCTGAGCCTGCCACATTACTTGTTGCCATAAATTGATGAAATAGGGATGCTGGCAAAATAACAGGTACAGGCGGTATTATCATTGCTCATTCCTTGGAGAGATCTAGAAGCAACTGGCTGCGAAATATTTAGCAGAATTAATACTTGGGGACAAAGGCTGGTGCATAACAAAACCGTTGTGTAAATCAAGCTCAGAATGTAAATCACGGGCTCCATTAATATTCTGTGTTCTAATGGAAGAAACACCTGCTGGGCTATCAATAAAGGGGCTCTGCAGAAATCTGCTGAAATTGTCGTTTCCTTAACTCTCTGCCTGCCAGGCCGCTTCTCGGCTCTCGTGCCATCCCTGTCTAACCACCAGGGCAAAGGCTGCTGCTTGGACAAAGGTACCGTGCATGCAAGGACTTGCAGGCTCTGCTGTAGCTAGGGAAAGGGTTTCTTACAAGTTACCTAGACTGTAGAAAGTAGGGAATATCTTCATGATGTTTTTGCACATTTATAATTAAAAAAAAAAATCTCGGAAGGGGTGGAGGCTAGATAGTATAGCAGCAGGTAGGACATTTGCAGGTAGGGGTTGACCCCTGGCACAACATATGGTCCCCCCGAGCACTTCCAGGAATTCCCTGAGCAGAGCCAGGAGTAATTCCAAAGCACTGCTGTGTGTCATCATCCACCCCGCCCCTCCCCCCCAAAAAAAGAACAAACACTGATAATTTAAAAACTGCCTCTGCACGTGATGCCCTTTGAGCCTCTGGCCACTTGCCCACCGTGAGCTCGTGCAGGCCTGGGTCACAGCAGGCGTGGAATGTGCCTGTGGCCTTCCCAACTGCTCAGAATAGCCCTTTCTTGGGGGGCCCTTTGGCCTGTAGATTGTTTTAAGCTGAGGTCAGACAGAGCCCTGTGAGCTTCTAGGATACTTGTGGCTCTACCCTAGAGGATGTTGCTCAGTTTGGCTTCTTGCCAGAAATGAACTTTCAGACAGACCTACCTATGTGGCTGGGCAAACAGCTAAGCCCAGTGCATCGTATCCCTGTCCAGTGAGTCACCCCTTGGAACCCCCAAGTCCTGCCTCTTGGCCCAGGATGCACAAGCCCATCTGCTCTTTGGCAGTGTTCCCCCGGAGTGCAGAGGCGTTTCCCTCCTGCCCTGGCTGACACTGGGAAGAACCCAGGGGGAGGGGCAAGTTTCCACCCTGCACCTCTTGGCTCCCTGGGTTCAGGTGTGGCCCTGGGTAAAGCACTCTTAAAGGGGGCCAGCCACTTGGCTCGTCCATGCCACCTCTAGGGTATCATGACGCCTTTCCAAACAGTGCTCCTCAATCTGTGTCTGCCACCCCTTCCTGTGCGCCCCACCCCATTTGCACGATTTTCACCTGTGGCCTCCTTGGAAGATTCTGAGAAACTGCTCTGAAACCTTTCCATTGCTGCCAGAGTCAGGGAGCACTGGAGTCTGACGCGTCTCCCTGACATCTGTGTGTGTATGTGTGTGTGTGTGCTGGGTGGGGGAGCAGGGAGGAATGGCAGGGTTAGACTCTCAGCTACCTGGTCACCAAGTAGCCTTTGAATGCAAGTTTCTGCAGGGCCGAGCCCTTTCCTTTACCTTCTCTGGACCGTGATGCTGGGCCTCCGGATCAGGAGGCCAAAGGCATACACTCCCCCACCTCCCACCCCCAACCCATCCCTGTGCCTGGCTCTCTATTCCCCTCCTCTCTGCCCAGGCCCGCAGAACTCACACTGGCTGCCACAGAGTAACCGTTTTACTGGGTGTATGGGGCATCTCATAAACTCAGCATCACTGACAACTTGGGCTGAAGCACTCTCTGCTGTGGAGAACTGCTCTGTGCCCGCAGTATATTCCTACCTTCTCCCAGCCTGTGCAGTAGCATCCCAAGTTATGAAATACACTGCCCAATCTCTCCGGGGTTCGAAGAGGCCCTGAGGTGGCCCCTAGGAGAATCATCCAGCCACGCTCTAGTCTGTGTGAATGTACCGCTGGATATTATTCATTTAGGAGCTAGTTACTGAGGGCCAGAGAGAGGGTTCAGTGGGCTGAACAGAAGCTCTGCATGTGGGAGTCCCAGGTTCAATCCCCAGCACATCACAGTCCCCTGAGCAGAGCTGGGAGTAGCCCCACACCCCAAAGAGCTAGGTACTAATTGCCAGGCAGGGGGTGGGGCACTCTGCATTCCTTATCTGCACAAAGTGCCGGGACAGCCCCTGCGGTGGGTACGGACCCCCATACAGGGTGCTCATCGTAGTCAGCACCCATCCTTGGTCCCTGTGTCCTCATCCACCCCGCCTGGCTGAGGGGCACTGGGAGAAGGTGGGGAAGTGGTCTGAGCACATGGTCTTCTGGGAGCCCATGGCAGGGCATGCTGGGCAGGAAGGCCACAAGAGCCCCCAGGCATGTGAGCAAAGGCAGGGCTGGCTTTGGGCGCCACATCACAGCCCGTGTTTGTCCGGGAAGGCAGGGCAACCAGGGACTGGGATGAGGAGGGTGGTGCACTGGCATCCACTCTGCCTGGTGAGAGGAGGGGGCCTCAGGGGGAAGCTGCAGGGACAGTGTGTCTGCTGGAGTAACAGCCAAAGCACATCACCCGGCCTGTGGAATGCCGAGTTCTTATGGGCAAACTGGCCTCCAGTTTCCTGGCCCCACATGGCAATGGGCCTGGATCCTTCCAGATCCAGAGGAGTTGCCTGGGAGGTCTAAGAAGCCCACAGAGCCCACCACACGCGCCCTCTGAGGAGAGCCGCTGCGGTCAGTTCAGGTATGCTGGCCGGGCATGAGGAACAGAAACCCTCCATTTCGGTGCTGTTAGCACAGACATTTATTTCTCGACACAGCACTCACGTGGTCACTCACGCACCTGAGGCACAGCCTCTGAAACAGTGCTCACAGCAGAGGAGGGGAGCCCGTGCAGAACCAAACCCCAGCTGGAGCAAGTCCAGGCAGAGGCTGGCGGCCCCAGGGCATGTCTGCACCCTCAGCGTCGGGCAGGAAGTGCCCTCCTCGCCTCAGGGCCGGCCACTGGCCACGGCCCAGGACACATGGTTCTGTGGGAAAGGGAGTGGCCACAGCCCCACCTTGGCCCGTGCTCCGCCGTGTATCAGGCTTTCCTCAGCAGGAGGCATGAGTCCTGGAAACGCGGGGCAGCAAAGGGCTCTTGGCCACCCTCCAGGCATCACTGGAGGCCTGGGAGCCCTGGAGATGTGTAACTGCAGAGGCCGGAGTCAGCCCGCCTGGGCACCAACAGCTCCCGAGGGCAGAGGGCAGTCCTCCGTGCTCGGGACGCAGGTGGGAGCCTCGCCATGAATGCCCCGATTTGCGCAAGGCCGTGTGTGTGTCTGGACCAAGGCTCAGTCCTGGTACTGGGTCCTGAGTCCGTCAAGCCAGCTGCTGTGCTGACTGCCGCCCATGGTCCCTTCAGAGGCGGCACACAGCTGGCAGTGAGTCCGAGGTGGCACTCAAAACAGACAGCACGAGACGGCGCAGGGGGACTGTCCCCATGGCAGGAAGGAGGGTCCCAGAAGCACTGCCAGCAGCTGCCAGGGTGCTGAGGGCGGGCTTGGGGACACCAACCCACAGCCCCGTGCAGTCACTTCACCTGGCGCACCTTTCTGCCCTCGAGGTAACTCCTGCAGAAAGGCGAGGTGCCCACGCAGACCAGGAAGGTGGGCGTGAGCGCTCTGACGTGATACCTGCAGAGGGCACAAGAGAAAGGAGGCCTTCGTCATCCGCGCAGCCACCTTGAGCCTCAGAGGCACGGCAGCATCCAGCTCCGCACGCTCACTTGGACAGCTGCCAAGACACCCAGCAAAGACGCGGGCCTGCACCCCTCACACCCTCTGCACCAGGCAGCTGGAGGCCAGACACGAGCCAAAACAAGGACACACTTCGGCTCCTCCACAGCGCAGGCTGAGGCTGGGATGGGGGAGCAGACCCGGAGGGACACCCAAACACTGGGTAACTCAGCAACCACCAGTCCTCCTGTTGCCCCTGGGAGAGATGTCCTGTGGACAGCAGGAGCCAGGCCACAGCCTGAACAACCCCGGCCTCAGTGCACAGCTGACGTGGGTTACCCATTACTGAGCTCCGATGCCCAGGGCCTTCCCTCCTCAGGCCGCTCTCAGCAACTTCTCTGGGCACAGGTGCACTGCTGCGGCCCTCACCCAGCACACACTGGGGGTGTGCGGGGCGGAGGGGAGTGAGCCGGGTGGTGCCGTGGGACAGGCCCGAGGGAGGCTTACCTGGGGTGCTGCAGCACGGGCAGCAGGGTGCTCTGCAGGGGCACCCGGTACAGCTCCGCCCCGTCTGCAGCCTCAAAGTAGACCTGCGGGATGGAGCGCAGGGGTGAGCACCTGGGAGCCTGGGGCACCCGCAGCACAGATGGGGAGGCCAGGTGCACAGAGGCAGCCCGGTGCCACCCGCAATGTCATCCAAGGACCTGCGCCCAGAGACATTCACTCACAGACCCCAACCCAGACTCTGTCCTAGAGCCCTGAGCAAGGCTAGGCAGAGCCGGAAGACGACGCCCATGTGTGTGTGTGTGTGTGGGGGGGGGTGTCACCCAGACTGTCAGCGCACAGGCCCCCTCACTGGGCTGCCAGCCTAAGTCCAGGAGAAGCACTTCCTGTGACACAGCTGCCAGGGTCAGAAGACATCCAATATGGGGTGTCAGGGCCCAACCCAGAGGAGGGCAGCAGGAAGCTGCTGTGGGGAGAGAGGCCAAAAGGGGTTTTTGCAGGGGTCCGAGTGCAGGATGAGGAAAGGCCCATGGCAGAAGGATACAGGGAGGGAACTGGAAACAGCCATGAGGATGCTCATACGTGTCCCTAAAGTACAAATTCATACAAAGACAAAGCGGAATGTGGTGGCTGGTCACTGGTGACCCTGGTCAGTGTCAAGTCACAGTGATGACAAGCTGGTGGGGTGTGGGCATTGTCCCATGCCCTGGGCTGCACAGCCAACATGCCTCCCGCCAAAAAACACCAAATCCCACAGAGGAGCAAGATGAGATGTGTCTTACCTCTAACTTCTCAGGACGGTATTTTTGCTCCAAGTCCCAAGACGGCAATTCACCAAACATCACCATTAGATGATCAATAAACCTAAGAAAAAAACAGGTCCTTGGGGGCCGGAGTGATAGCACAGCGGGTAGGGCGTTTGCCTTGCACACGGCTGACACGGATTCGATTCCCAGCGTCCCATATGGTCTCCTGAGCACCGCCAGGGGTAATTCCAAAGTGCAGAGCCAGGATTAACCCCCGTGCATCGCTGGGTGTGACCCAAAAGGCAAAAAAAAAAAAAAAAAAAAAAAAGGTCCTTTATGGCCCTCAAGACCTCGGGATCCATCAGTGCCCAAGGCGCAAGCGCAGGGCATGTCCTGGGAAGGCAGCCTGGAGCCCGGCTCAGGCGTGATCACCTGGGCTGGCATTGCCGGGCCCTGCCTGGAGCGTCAGTCTCCAAATGCCACCTGTCACGTGCAAGCTGTACTTTCTAATGGGCTATCGCTTCCCGACAGCGCACAGGCCTGTGGCGATGCTGCGTCCCACTGCAGAGGCCAGACGTGGCAGATGAGTCCACTAGCCAGGACACTAAGGCTGTGTCCTTCCCTGAAGCGAGCTGGCAAAGGGAGAACCCCACTCCAGGAAAGAGACGTCATGCCACCATCCCCAGGTGCGACTATTCTGTCCCCCCACTGCAAAGTCCTGGCCTACCTGCAGAGACAGGGATCATTTGAGCCAGGGCAGAAGGCTTAGTGCGAGAAGGTACCTGGAGTCCTCGTGAAAAGCAGAGATGAAGTCTGACTGGCCATATTCTGGGTACAGGAAGAGCACAGGCCAGCTCAGCCTGCCCTGCTCATCCATGCTCAGCCTGGCTCCGCAGGGGTTCTCCGAGCCAAGCCCGTCCAGGCAGAGCTCGCCGAGGCTTTCTGAGTCCGAGTCTTCCTCCTCGCCAGCAGCCTCAGCGGCGAGCCTGATGCCTCTCACCTGGGTTGAACAGAGACATGCCAGCCTGAATGTGTGAGGTTAGCAGAGCCAGTGGAGGCCCTAACGCAGTGGCAACACTGTGGCCAGGATACCCCACGGCAGGGTCATTTGCTCAAATGTCCTTAACCAGGCATGGGTGCTGGACTCGTGGGACTGAGAGAAGACAAGCAGGGCTCCAACCCCCAAGATGCCACATGATCCCAGGGAAAAGCATGGAAATGAGTGCGGAGGAAGATCAGAAGCAGGCAAGAGCCACTGGCCAAGAATGAGGAGATCTACCCAGGGGCTGGCTGATAGCTGAATACTGGGCCTTACTTAAATAAGGCCAGTGAAACGCAAAGAAGTTGGGGTGAAGGTAACCTCCCCCTCCTCCCTGCCCACTCCCTAAAAAGCATCGCAAAGCACAAAAAAAAAACCAAGAGTCTGGTATGTACAACGATGGGGCATATTCTGGATACTGGAGACAGACAGTGCTGCCTGACTCGAGGCTGAGGACATGGAAGGTCCCCGTGCCAGCCTCGGCCCAGGGTGGTGGCACAGAAGGGGAGGCCACAGGCTACCAAAGTGACCTTGATGACATCCTCAATCAAGGGTCAGATAACAAGTTACTTTAAGCTTTGAGGAGCCAGAGCAATACTACAATGGTGAGGGCATTTGCCTTGTACGTGGCTGACTTGGGTTTGATCCCCAGCAACCCATATGGCCCCCCAAGCACCACCACCAATGATTCTTGATTGCAGAACCAGGAGTAACCCCTGAGCATCACCAAAAACAAAAGATGTGGCCCCAAAAACAAAAGCTTTGAAGCCTCAATAAAATGAACTACTCAACACGGTCTGGTGTGTGCAGGTCGCCGGTCACACACATGCAGCCTTGCAGGATCATCAGTCACAACTCAAACCCGGGTTGTCTATGGAATGTACAGCTTTGTGTACACGACCGCAGAAAGCAAATGCAGGGGGCCAAGGACGCACCTCCGTAGCAGAGCACAGACTACACGGGCACTGACGTCTGCGATGCAGAGTCAGACTGAGAAGGCCCACTGTGCACTGTCGCCCAGGCATTCCAGTGCTGCACACTCCACACAGGGCCCGACTCCCTGACTGACTGAGAAGCAGGAGGCCGATGTGCTGAACGCAGTCCAGGGTCCACGGAATCTGTTCCCCCGTGCTAACAGAGTGCCCACGGGGCAGGTCAGTGGAATCAGTTCTCAGGATCAACAAGGGACCTGAGTGGGGCTGATCCACCTTCACAATGAATTACCTAGAACCCCACCTCCACTACCTCCACACGGAAGGTGCTAGCTTTCTGGAGGCCAGAAAGCAGGCTTGAGCAGGCCACGTGCTAGGCAAGGAGGGAAATGCCACGTGGTCAACAACAAACGAGCATTCACAGTGCAGGACTGAGGAGCACAGAGGCAGAGTCAGGGCAACCCGAGAACCTCAGGCTCTCTCGGGGTGTAGCAGAGAGTGTGGCTGAGAGCAGGGCCTGCTCTGACACAGATCAGCGGCATGAGGCTGGGTCTCTTCTCGGCGACCATGCCAGCATCCAGCATATGAGGAGCAAGGACTGCTTCGGAAGGCCACCGAGAAGATCAGCATCACCCCCCCAAGTGGCTGTTTCAAAAAGGCTCACTCTCCCCCAGACGCACAGACAGTTTGAGAATGTGCAGCATCCTGCCACCGCTGCCTTCTCTCACTCGTCCCCTGGAAAGCCAAAAGAAAATGAACAACACTTCCTTCCGGCAGAGCATCCTGACAGGCTCCCTCAGCTCTGGAAGAGAGCAAGGCCGGGAGGGCCTCGGTGTGAGAACTCACCTTGACGGCCTGGAGTAAAGCCTCGTTCTTACTCTGCTCCTTCTTCTCGGTCACCTTCGCTTTCCGCATATCCCTCTGCTGGGTTCGCTGCAAGTCAGAGTGAGACACATTAGCTCCAGGAGATCAGCGTCCTCTTTGTAAACCTGCCCAGCTAGCCTGGGCTCCTACCTCTAGGAAGATCTACCAGGGGCAGGTGCAGCTCAGTGAGCGTCTGAAACGCTCACATCAGGTGCCACGACCATGAGAGCAAAAACAAAAACATTGACAGTGCTCTGGAGCTCGGTCTACGAGGAGGACTGTTAGGTGTCACCTTCGGGGTGGTGTGAGGCATGAGCTAAACAACGGAAAGGAGGCCTGATGAGACAGTACAGCGGTAGGGCACTGCCTTGCACTGGCCGACCTGGGTTTAATCTCTGGCATCCCATGTGGACCCCCAAGTCCAGCCTGGAGTGATCCCTGAGCTCAGAGTCAGGAGTAACCCCTGAGCACTGCCGGGTGAGGCTCTGCCCGCTGCAGAGGCAGCCCCACATGGGAAAATCTCAGCAGGTGGAGGGCAGAGGGATTCTTGGTGCTGGGACAGATGCAGGCACCGAAGGCCATGGCAGCCTCTGCTGTGGCTGAAACACCGGTGAGCACTCTGGGGACCTTCTTTCTGCACAACTTAGGAGAGGGAGTACCTAAGTCGACTCAATCTGGCAGAAATATAATTTAGATTTCCCTGCTTTTTCTCTACCCAAAGCAGTGGGTCCTCTCTTATCCTTAGGGCTCTGGATTGATAAGAGGTCGGCAAAAACTTTCCTGTAATAAGCCAAAGAGTAAATGTTATCCATAACATAATATCTGGTTTTGTCTGTTGTTTGAAAATGTGAAAAACAGAGGCTGGAGAAATAGCTAAAAGGACTGAGTGTTGCTTTGCATGTGAGAGGCCCAGGTTCAAGCCCCAGCACCACAAGGTCCCTCAAGCACCGGCAGGAATGAACCCTGAATATAGAGCTGGGAGTAGCACCCTGGGGAAGGCCCAGATCCTGGCCCCCAAATGGGAATACATGTGAAAAACATTCTTAGTTCACAGAACGTACCCACAAAGGCCACAGGCGATCTCTGGGTGTAGGCGGTTGCTTCTCTAAAACAAAGCACCCATCAGCCCTCATCGCTAGCTTCTTTTGTCACACTCAAAAATTTTCACAGGGAATAGTTTATATAGCCTTGGTTAGACATACATAGTCAATTTTTTCTCCCATATCACAGATTGCTTTTTCTTTCTTGGTCTTTGTTTTGTTTTGGGGCCACACCAGTGGTGCTCAGGGCTTATTCCTGGCTCCGCACTCAGATCACTCCTGGCAGACTCAGGGAATGACACTGGGAGCCACATATCAAATCTGTCGACCACATGCAAGTCAAGCGCCTACCTGCTGTCCTGTCTCTCCAGCCCCTAGAATAAACCCTCCTCAGAGTTATTTTATGGGTTTGATGGATTCACGTACATTTGTAAAAGATAGTGCCTGAAACATACACTCAGCAAGTTACAGTGATGCAGAGACGAAGGAAGGGATCCAAGAAATTCAGTTAACTGGTCCATTTAAATCGTGCCTGCCCCAAAGCAGAGTGAAACAGTAGAGGTCAAAGGGGAGCCCTGGTCAGCCAGCTCCCTCCGTGACCCCTCCGGTGTTCAGGCGGGCAGTCTCAGGAAAGCAGTGGATCTCTCCAACATGCACATGACCAGGAATGCAAAGGGTGAAAGAGCTGCTGGGCTCCAGGTCCCGAGAGTCACACCTGTACCTGGGGAGAGGCAGCCTTGGAGCTCCCATGACAGACTAGGAGGGCCACGGGAGAATGGTGGTGGACATCAGTAGACAGAAGAAACCAGCATGAACTTCGAGGGATGGCATATACAGGAACCAGCGTGAGGCCGGGACACAGAACTCTGGGGGACCCAAAGCCACTTCCCTGAGCAGTTAATGACTACGGCTTCCTAATACCTGGAATTTTGTATGCCGACCTTCCATGCATCACTCAAGGACCCACCCTGGGGCAATCCTGTGCTTGTGATGACAGTGTCCATCTAACTGCCGGGTATTATTTTTGATAGTAATGGTACTGTATTTATTGTTTTTGCCAGCACAGTTGTTGCTTACATGCCAGAAATGAATCACACCACTAGCAAGTTATAGGTGTCTTTAAACCTAGCAGTGTTGAAAAAGATCATTATTTATTTTTGTACTGTTTTTCCCTCTCCTCTCTTGCAAGACCCATGTGTAATGCACAGGCTGCACTACCGTAGTTGTAAGCTGGTCCTCATTAGAGGTCAAGATGTGTGCTAAGAGGGCCAGAGCAATAGTACAGTAGGTAGGGCACTAGCCTGTACACAGCTTACCTCAGGTTCTATCCCTGGCACCCCAGATGGCCACGAGCCCTCCAGAAGTGATCCCTGATCTCAGGAGTAAGCCCGGAGCACTGCTGAGTGTGGCCTCAACACAAAAACAAGCAAAATAAGAGATGTGCGAAGAAATATAAACACACCGACATAACCTTTGAGGCAGACATTATGGCCAATCTTGTCAGAGGAGACCGGGTGTGGAAACATGGAGGAAGGCCCCAGCTAGCTCGCTCAAGCCAGCGCTCTTCCCTGCACATGTATCTTGCTTCTCTTTCTCTGCTGCCCGTGTTCTCTGAACACATTTCCCCTCTTTCTCTCTGCTCACATCTTTCCAAGTGAGCTTCAATGAAAACTTTCTTGCTTCACTATTAAAAAAAAAAAAAGGCCCAGGTTGCAGTTTTGATTTCTTGTGTCTGGGGTATATTCCCCCACATCCCCCCACCTTGCTCAAGTTAGTACACTCTTGCTCGGTTTCCAAGAGATGAAGCTGGAGGTCACCTCTTCCAGCAAACTTTCTCTGCTACCCTATTTCCACCCTGCCTTTAGCCAGAGCAAAGTTAGCCAACAACGCTATATAATGTCACTGCATATACTCTCTAGAGTTTTGCTTGCTCCTCACAAAGTATAATTAATTTATTAGTCTGTTCTCCAGAGTTCTAAGGTAGGAACTGGTCTTGGTTTTACTTTTTTTTTTTTGAAAGAATACATATACACTGATCCACAAGATACAATCTAGGGAATGCGAAATTAATTAATGCAAACTTTAAAGGCCAATTATCTGCTGGTTTTCTGACCCACCTTCAGCTTGTCGGCTTTAACTCTCATTTCTAGAAGCTTCTTCTCCTTAGGATCTATCTGTAGCCCCTCATCACACCAGCTCACAGCCTCAGCAAAGTTCTTTAGTTCCAGATGGCATAAGGCACCTGCAAAGTGCAGAAGTCTTAGGTCCCGCAGACAACCTGCAGGGCAAGAGCATTCCCTGGGCAGGACCCCCAACCCCCCCCCCCCCCATCCCCAGTTACCAACCTGCTACACTGAAGGGCAGAGACTGTGAAGTCCTTGCGCTCTCTGCATTCCCCAGACAAGAGCAGATCTATTCTTTCTCAGACCAGGAGGACAGCTAATGTCCACTCAACCCAAGGCTCTGGCAAGCCTCTTACTGAGGGAATATGGCTAAGTAGCAGAGAGCCTGGGCTCTGAATGCAAATCTGGTCTGGAAACCTGACCTGCCATTTACCAGTCTGACATCAGACGAAAGAGTCGCATTTCTCAATAAAGAATAAAACTCATCTGAGATGATTTTCAGACACAGAAAGCACAGTTTTCCTCGCCAGTTCACCCAAAGAAGCCTGAGCACGTCCCTCTGCTAGTTTCTCTCCAACTAGCCTCTTTAGGCTTCCCACAGAATTTTGAACTATTGGAACTGTGAGGGCGTGGATGTCAGCAGAATCCACCTTTCAGAAATGGGTTCACTGAAGCTCAGAGTGGTTCTTGTCACCGTCTCCTGAGAGCAGAAACTGCAACTCAATCAAGAATCAGAGATTTCCAACCCGAGGTGCACTCCACAACACAGACTTGCTTAACACTCCCGTCTGCTCGGTCAGCGCCCTCTCTCCTTAAAGGTGGGGTCGGGGTCAGCACTCTTCCCTACCACAAATCTCTAAGAGGAGTAAGAGGCATATATCTGATAAAAGTTTTAAGTTGGGCTGGGGATATGGCTCAGTGGCAAAGTGCATGCATTGCACTTATGAGGCCTGGGTTTGATTCCAGCACTGCAAAAAATGAAAATAAAAAATGGAGTTGATCCATAGGGATACAAGGAAGATTAATATACGATGAATAAATTAAAGTTTGCAAAGCGCACCTTTGAGCTTACATTAAAAAAAAAAGTGACGTATCAAAGTAATAAAAGCACTATTATTACACAGAAAGGTCAAACTACAAGAGAAGAAATAATCTGGGAACATCTTAGCTTTAGAGTGATCTGCAAAGGTCCCAGGACTTATCTTTTAATTAACATTAACGTGGCATTTAAACATCTTTCCTTACAATCAGCTAATTTGGGGAAAAATTAGAATGTGGCTTTGGAACTGCTTCATTCTAATTAATTTTATTCTTTATTAATTTAAAATGAGGAGTTTCAATTTCTCTACAAATTCTGAAAAGATAAAAAGGGTTCGCTCTGTCTCTGAGGAATTCTTTACAAATGGCATGTTGGTGTTGATAAGGAACAGGAACTGCAGAAGTTGACTTCATTAGTATCTTAGCAGCTTAACATTAAAGTTTAACCTGCCTCGATTTTCACTGCAACCTTTCGAGAACAACAATCACACTGCAATTCTACACGACTTACCTCTGATTACGGCCTTGAGGTGGTTCGGTTTCAGCTTCCTCGCAGCCGCCACATCATTGAGAGCAGAACGAAAGTTGCCTGTATCAAAAGCCAGTTAGTGGAAAAAAAAAAAAACCAAGTGTTGAGATCAGAATATTTCCAAAATTTTATGCATAGAGACAAACACTCTTGTACAATCTGAGAGAAATGAAAATTTGAGCAACTTTTAAATGTTTATCTTTTAAAATCTAGATACATGTATACAAACAATATAAATGTACATGTCCACACACATCATGTACATAACTGTAAGTGCAATTAAGAAAAGGTATTGCACCCTTGATACACTAGTTATGTTAACTAGCAAGCTAAGCTAAAGATCCTGTTTAAGAATATTAAAAATTATTTCATTGAACGGAAGAAGACTTAGTCAATTTAAGAGTCATACCTCTGTAATGCCCTCAAACCCTCCACTAACTGTCTTGATCATGGCTTCTGTCCTAACTTTATCCTTCCTTCTTCATGGGGGCGCTTCCCAGTGGGGCTTGGGGACCACTCCAGTGATGCCAGTCTGGCAGTACTGGCCTGGTGATAAGAAGCTCAGACCCAGTCATGCAGTGTAGTTGGTCCCAATACTGCAGCGACCAACAGGGCCGTGCTTGGGAGGCATGAGGTGGTGGGGGGTCAAACTCAGGGCTTTGTGGGTGCGCCAGCCCTTTGAACTATCTCCCCTGGCCCCCGTAGCTGCGGTCCCTAGGAAGCATTAAGTAAAGGGTGGGCTTACCAAGGTAGAAGTGGGCTGCGGCCCGGTTGGTATAAAGGACAGCGTTCAGATCCGGGTCTGTACACTTCTTCTTCAGTCCTTCAGTGTAGGAAACCACCGCCTTTTTATAGTCCTTTTCTTTAAAATAATCATTGCCCTCATCTTTATAGGTCTTGGCCTGTTCTGCAAAAACAGGAATAATCACTCTTTCCAATTTTTTTGAAAAAGGCTTGTTTAGTCTAAATCCTACAACTTAATATATGATAAATTAAATAGAAGACATCAATTGGGTTAAAAAAAAAACACAGAAAAATGACTGCTACAAAACTGGCTAACAACATGGAGAAACCAAGTCGCACAAATACAATACAGATTTTAAATGCTTATCACTGTCATCATCACTGTCCTCCCGTTGTTCATCGATTTTCTCGAGCGGGCCCAGTAACATCTCCATTGGAGACTTTGTTGTTATTGTGTTTGGCATATCGAATACGTCACGGGTAGCTTGTCAGGCTCTGCCATGCGGGCGAGATACTCTCGGTAGCTTGCCGGGCTCTCCGAGAGGGGCGGAGGAATCGAACTTGGGTCGGCCATGCTGGCTGTGTGCAAGGCAAACGCCCTACCGCTGTGCTATCGCTCCAGCCCTTTGTTCCTTAATCGCTTATAAAAAAAAAAAGAAAGAAAGAAAAAAAAAAGGTACATAGGGCCTAAGTGACAATACAGTGGGTATGGTGCTTGCCTTGCATGTGGCCAACCCAGGTTCAATCCCCATCACCCTATATGGTCTCCCGAGCCCCACCAGGAGTGATCCCTGAGCACAGAGCCAGGAGTAACCCCTGAGCACTGCTGGGTGTGCCCCCCCACCCCTGGCAAAGAGGCAAAGTATAGTTATTGTAGTACTTTTAAGAAATGATGTTTTAGGGGCCAGAGCAACAGTACAGCAAGTAGGGTGGTTGCCTTGCATGCGGCCAACCCGAGTTCCATCTCCGGCATCCCATACTGTCCCCAAAGCATCACCAGGAATAATTCCTGAGTGGTGTGTCAGGAATAACCCTGAGCATAGCACGCACGCCCCCCCCAAATTATTTTCTGAAAGATTTTTGAAAGATTTGAAAATCTTTTTGAAAGATTAGCAAAGAGATGGGATGGCATTATTCTTTTGCTTTGACTTATGTCGGTTTAGTCCTTGCAGTACAGAGTCTCATCGTTAGCCAGGAGCCTACAAAATAGTAAAGATTCAGTGGAAATGTCCACTCCTACCCCCGACTTTCAGTGTCACTTATCACACATACACCTTTGTCCTGATTCTTTAGGACAACGTGGCTACACTCTGGGTGGGTGCTCAGAACCGACTCCTGGCTCTGAACACTGGGATGATTCGTGGCAGAACCAGGGACCCAGTTCGGCACTGAGCGAGGCTAGCACCGGACCCGCTGTACTCACTCTCTCTCTCTCTGTGGCCCGGTCATCAGAACCGGTGGCTCTCTCTCTCTTTTTTTTTTTCTTTTTGGGGTCACACCCGGCGATGCTCAGGGGTTACTCCTGGCTCATGCACTCAGGAATCACTCCTGGCGGTGCAGGGGGACCATATGGGACGCTGGGAATCGAACCCGGGTCGAGCCGCGTGCAAGGCAAACGCCCTCCCCGCTGCGCTATGGCGCCAGCCCGGGGCGGCTCTCTCCTAAGGCGCAAAAGAGGCGTCAGCGGCGGGAGATACCTTCCGGGGACCTCTCCTCGTCGAAAATGAGGGACTGCAGGCAAGCCAGGTCCGGGTTCTGCTGGGGATCGATTTCCGACGGCGCCTCCTTCATAAAGAGCGGGATCTTGTCGAACTCCTGGGAGGCAGCGAAGACGCCACGTGAGGCTTCTCCCGACACCCACCTACTGCCCGGGGACTTGCTCCGCGGCGGACTCGCGTGCCCCCGCCCCCCTCGCCCGTCCCGGTCAGTCTCCCGGCCCTAAGGGGCGACTGGCTCCCCGACACGGCGGGGGCCGGGGGTCGGGGGTCGCGGGGGTGCCTGGCACGGGCAGGGCTCCCCCTGGGTCGGGCGCGGGCGCTGACTTCCGGGGTCTCTCGGGGCTCGGACCCCACGCGGGCGGCGAGGCTGCGCCCAGGGCACCGCGTGCCCGCGGCCGCCCACCGGCAGCTGGACCCCTGGCCGCGCAGGGCCCACCTCCTCCCACCGGTCCTCGCGGAAGCCGCCGCGGTAGGGCTGGCTCTGGAACTTTTCCAGGAACGCGTCCATGGCGTCGTCGGACTCGGCGTCCGGCTGAGTCTGCTCCATGACCGCTCCGGGGGCTCCCGCCACGCTCCCCGGGACCGGGCGGTCACTTCCGGCGGGGCGGCGCGCTCCCCTCCACGCTCCGGGCGGCGAGCGGCCCGCGCACCTCGGGTTCCGCCGGCCTGGGGGCGTGGCCCGCCTGCCGCCCCGCCCCGCCCCTCCGGCGCAGGCACCGCCCTCCGCCTTTCCGGGAACGTTTAGGCCACGCCCCCAACAGGTTCCGCCCGCGTCTTGGGGGTGCGGCTACGCCCCTCCAGTGTAGGGTCCGCCCACCTCCTTTCCGAAAACGGTAAGGCCACGCCTACACTGTAGGCCCCGCCCCACACCCTTTCGGGGATGGAAAACCACGCCCCTTCAGTGTAGGCTCCGCCCACCTCCTTTCAGCACAGCCACGCCCCTCCGGTGTAGACTCTGCAACACACCTTCTAAGGGATGTCACTCTCCCAACCCAGGCTATTTTTTTAAAATTTTTTAATTTTATAAAGTAGTTCGTAATATTTGGTTACATTTAATATTTGCACATCAATCGCACCACCATTACACCTTCCCACCACCATAGTTCGGATGTTTCCATCCTGAACCCCAACCCCTCCCTGCCCCAAAGCAGAACCTTGAAATCATTTATTTCGTATTGTTATGAAAAACTGCTGAAAATGTTCCAAAAAAGTTTCCTTAGAGGAAGGAGTGTGAAGATCGTTGCATTTCACCCAGGGGCCATCACTAGATCACTTGACTTCCTGTTAATTGTGGATTTGCTCAAGCGGGTGCCAGTAACGTCTCTGTTTGTCCCTGTCGCATGCTAGTGTAGCCCAATGGCGTCTGTTCTTTCTAAGGACATGAAGAGCCTCAAACCGATCGTTCATGATCTTGATGAAGAAGTCTGACCATCTGGTAGGTGGGCGGCCACGTGGTCTTTTGACATCCCGTGGAATCCAGTCAGAAATGGCTCCAGTCCAGCAGCCATCTCTAAATCTCATTACGTGTCCAGCCCATCTGATTTTTGACGCCTTGGCAAACAAAACAGCATCCTTGATTCTTCATCAGAGGTCGGAACTCCAGATTCTTTCTCTCATTTGAGTGAAGCATGATACTCCAAGCATAGCTCTTTCAATTCCTCTTTGGGAGACGCGAATAGCGTTCTCATCCTGTTTGCATAGGGCCCAGGTCTCTGAGGCGTATGTTAATGCAGGAAGAAGAGTGGAATCAAAGAGATGTGCCCGGATCCGGAGGTTCTTTGTCCTCTTAGCTATTTCTTCAATGCTAAGGGGGCGGGGGGCATTAAGCATTTCTATATAAGAGCTCACTTAGATGTTGTTAAAGGTTGAGACTTGTGTGCTTATATATATGTATTATATATCTGTAAAAAAAGTATTTTCCACTAATATTGATTGCCTTCTACTTTAAACTCCATCAAATGTGGTGCGATACTCTTGGAGTATGGGTGGTGTGTCAGGTATGAGTTTGCTGGGCTCTGTAAGTCCCAGGACCATGCAACCCTTCTTTGACTCAATTTTTGGACTAATTCGCCAGCATGTGATTCCTAAACTCTTGTTCTAATCGGTGGGTCTACAGTGATGGGCAGAGAGCAGGTAGAAGTCTTGCCCCTAGTAGGAGGTACCTGGGAGAGAGAGTGGGTTAGTTCAGTCCTCCAAAATACGTGGGCCTGAACCCACTGAGAGGTCACAGACCATCTGAACAGGGCATGAGAGCCAAAAAGAGCAATATGAAAAAATAATAGCACTATAACACTATCCTCCCGTTGCTCATCAATTTGCTCGAGTGGGCACCAGTAACGTCTCCATTGTGAGACTTGTTTGTTACTGGTTTTGGCATATTGAATATGCCACGAGGAGCTTGCCAGGCTCTGTCGTGCGGGTGGGATACTCTCGGTAGCTTGCTGGGCTCTCCGAGAGGGACAGAGGAATCAAACCTAGGTCGGCCGCGTGCAAGGCAAATGCCCTAATGTGAGAATTTGTGGAGGAGAAAAGTTTTATCTGACTGAGGGGCTGGAGAGACAGTGCAGAGGGTAAAGTGCTTGCCTTGCATGGGGTTGACCCAGCTCAATCCCTGGCATCCCATATGGTCCATGAATCCTGCCAGTATAACAGGATGGACGGGCACTGCAGGGTGTTGGCACAAAGTGCACCTAGGGACAAGGGGGGCGGGGGGGGGAAGGTGGGCTGGGGCAGAAAGAGAAGGGAAGAACATTAGAGGAGGGAAACCTGTGAGCAGTGATCTTGAGGACGCGGCTTCTCCTTAGGGCAGGAAACTTCTGCAGTTTGAAGAGAACTTACGGTCTGTTTATTTGGGGAGGGGGTTGGGTCACATCCAGCGGTATTCAGAAATTTCTCCTGGCTCTGTGCTCAGGGACACTCCTGGCAGTGCTTCGGGGATCATATAGAATGCTGGGGACAGACCCGGGGTTGGCTGTGTGCAAGGCAAGCTCCAGCCCAAGGTCTGTTTAGTTCTGAGGTTAACCGCCTCCACCCACTGTAAGTGTGAGAGAACCACCCCCAGCCCAGGGGTGTCTTCCATGGCCCTGGGGATATCCAGCAGCCTTGGGGTGTCCGCTGTCTGGCTAGAAGGAAGAGCCAGCCTAAGCTGGAGAGTCACCTGTGCAGGGGGAGTGCAGGGTCATGGGCGTTTCCCAGAGAATTCAGGGAAACATCCCAGAGGTGACCACGCTGTCTCCCCTGGAGTTCCAGTGAGATGGGCACCGAGGGTGTGACTGCTCCGTTGGGCTTTCACCTGCAGAGGGTAGCAACCTCAGTCAAGTAGCTACGGGCGGATTCATCTTAGGGGAGGCCTGCTGAAGGGTGGAAGCCAGGGGCGGGAATGCGTGAAGAGATTGCGCAGGATGCTGCTGGGGGCAGGACGGGGTGCTCCTCGTAAGGAGCAGAGCGGAGCTGGCTGGCTGATTCCCAAGATGCACCGTCGCCTCCAGGGCCAGGACAGGGTTTCCACCTTCCCCCTGGCCCAGCCTTGGCAGAACTTGGTCCGTGCAGCCCCGCACTCACCCACAGTCAGCTCCCTAACCAGAGTTCCTTACTCTCCACCTTGTCGGTCCCTTCTGTTCAACACCCACCGAGTGTCCCAGCTCCCACCACTCTGCTACGCCTTCCAGGATGCGACACTCTCGGTCAGACAAGAATAGGCTGATGGTTTTTTTTCTTGTACAATTCTACTAGTGTCTTGTATATCCTGGATATTAATCCCTTATCAGATGGGTATTGGGTAAATATTCTTTCCCATTCTGTGGGCTCTTCCTGTATTTTGGTCACTGTTTCTTTTGAAGTGCAGAGGCTTCTTAGTTTGATGTAGTCCCATTGGTTTTTGTTTGCTTCCACTTGCATGGTCAGTGCTGTTTCATCCTTAGAGATGTTTTTAGCTTCCATGTCGTGGAGAGTTCTGCCTACATTCTCTTCCATGTACCTTATGGATTCATGTCTGATATTGAGGTCTTTAATCCACTTTGATCTGATTTTTGTGCCTGGCATTAAACAGAGATCAGAGTTCATCTTTTTTGCAGGTAGCTATCCAGTTTTCCCAGCACCACTTGTTGAAGAGGCTTTCTGTGTTTCACTTCACATTTCTTGCTCCTTTGTCAAAGATTAAGTGGTTATATATTTGGAGGTCTGTGATAGAATATTCAACTCTGTTCCACTGGTCTGCAGATCTTTTTCTAGCCCAGTATCATGCTGTCTTAATTACTGCTTCGTAGTACAGTTGGAAGTTGGGGAGGTTGATGCCACCCATCTTCTTTTTCCCAAGGATTGTTTTAGCTATTCGTGGGGGTTTATTGTTCCATATGAATTTCAGGAGTGTTTTGTCTATTTCTTAGAAAAATATTATGGGTGTCCTGGGGAGAAGAAATGAACAGAAGTTTCCTCAAAAAAGAAATACAAATGGCCAAACGGCACATGAAAAAATGCTCCACATCACTAACCATCAGGGAGATGCAAATCAAAACAACGATGAGATATCATCTCACACCACAGAGACTGGCACACATTCAAAGGAACAAAAGCAACCAGTGCTGGCGTGGATGTGGGGGAAAAGGGACAATCTTTCACTGTTGGTGGTAATGCCCACTTGTCCAGCCTTTCTGGAAAACAATATGGACAGTTCTTCAAAAACTAGAAATTGAGCTTCCATATGACCCCGCAATACTACTTCTGGGAATATATCCCGAGGATGCAAAAAAGCACAGTAGAAATGACATCCGTACCTATGTGTTCATTGTAGCACTGTTCACAATAGCCAAAATCCGGAAACAACCCAAGTGCCCTAGAACAGATGACTGACTAAAGAAACTTTGGTACATCTACACAATGGAATATTATGCAGCTGTCACAAAAGATGAAGTCATGAACTTTGCTTATAAATGGATAGACATGGAAAGTATCATGCTAAGTGAAATGAATCACAAAGAGGGGGACAGACATAGAAGGACTGCACTCATTTGTGGAGTAGAAAACAACATAACATGAGGCTGACACCTAAGGATAGTAGATACACGGGACAGATAGATCGCTCCATAGCTGGAAGCCTGCCTCCTCCTGAGAAAAGGGGAGAAGGCAGCTGCAATAGAGATGGGATCACTAAGAAAGAGATGGCTGGAGGAATCGGTCGGGGTGGGAGATGTGTGCTGAAAGTAGATAAAGGACCAAACATGATGGCCCCTCAATATCTGTATTGCAAACCATAATGCCCAAAAGTAGAGAGAGTGTATGGGGAGTATTGTCTGCCATGGAGGCAGGGGGAGGGTGGGAAAAGGGGGGTATACTGGGGATATTGGTGGTGGGGAATGTGCACTGGTGGAGGGATGAGTGTTTGATCATTGTGTGATTGTAACTCAAACATGAAAGCTTGTAACTATTTCGATGATTCAATAAAATCGCTGGAGCAATAGCACAGCGGTAGGGCGTTCGCCTTACAAGCGGCCAACATGGCCGACCCGAGTTCGATTCCTTACCCCTCTCGGAGAGCCCGGCAAGCTACCGAGAGTATTCGATATGCCAGACACAGTAACAACAAAGTCTCCAATGGAGACGTTACTGGGCCCACTCGAGCAATAAAATTAAAAATAAATAAATAAAGAATAGGCTGATGGGGACTTGGGAGAGACTT